ATAGATATATATATATATATATATATATATTGGGATTTTTATTATCCCTCCAAATAATTTTAAAGGAACCAGAACATGATCTAAAGGTTAACGTGCCAAGATTCTTACTACGAGTATTCGCGGTTCGAAACCCGTTACCGCAAAATGCTCTCTGACTTGAGAGTCGTGGGTGCGTTACTATTCGAGCAGACAAGATGAAACGGTGGGGGTGGCTTCGACTAACTGACTCTTCTTTAGTCTTTGAGTTTAAAATTAGGGACAGCTGTGCGCAGATAGGCATGTGCGAAATCCTGAAATAAACAAATCCTAAATACAATAGGTCATTTGAGGTTACGAATGGACAACAGAAAAAGGCTACTATTAAAGTTTCGGCTTGATTCAAATATATTATAATTTTTTATTTTGTATGTTTTTTTTTCTGTCGCTCAAGCATGTTAGAAAAAAAGAGTGGAGCTTTGCCTCTGATGGAATTTAGATATTTGTGACGTCACAAATCGCTTCAGAACATAACCTATCAATCAAAATTAAACGCATTTATTCAAAATCTTGGTATTTTTTGACTATGATTATTATATATCAAGCTTCACAATGTTGTTTATTTATTTGTTGCTAAACTTCGAGCTTGCTTCACAGCGGGCTATCTGTATTGTGCCCATGCCAGGGATCAAACCTCAATTATAGTATTATAAGCTTCTCCATTTACTTTTAAGCCAGTCGCTGGGGGGGGGGGACTATTTGACTTTGTAAATGAAAGAGAGATCTTTAGAGACAGGATCGATTAAGTAAACCAAACCAACAGCGGGGTGATATTGTCCAAATTACAAAAACTGTCTCGTTTTTCAGGCGTCCTTTTTAGCCTCCTAAACATCACCAGTAGTCAGTCTGTTGGTGGAGAGGTCCAAGGCTCGAACCGTGATATACCGCTGGACAAATTCCAGACTTTCAGCTATAAGGGCGTTATAATAGTAACAGTCTCAACGCTACACAGTTAAGAATAGCCCGATAGTTGGCGGGTACTACTGGCTGATTGTCTTTCCTTTGGTCATCAGCTGTAAGTGAGGGATGGTTATGCTTAAATCTTGTGGTCTCTAACCTGACCGTTTAGCCCATGTGACGAGTAAGGTGTTGGAAATACCGAACACTGTTCAAAAATACAAAAGCACACCAAATCGATGCAAGCTAAACAGTGATTGGACAAGTAGACTTACGTGAATAACAATCAAACATGAACAATTACTTACTCCCTTTTCTGAAAATCTTATTTTAAAGTATCGCAGAACATAAGTTTTTGGATCATTTTTCTCGAAACAACGGAATTAAACACCAATATCTGAATCACTGACAGACGACAAAACAATCACCAACCCACAGGTTTTGTGTTCGTTACGAATGATCTAGCAATGAGATGCAGTTTTGGAAAACATATATTATTCCTAATGTGGCTGTTTGGACACTCCTTTCGTCTTGTAAAATTTTATCATAGGACAACACCCAAAACTCGTTCTGTAGTTATTACGTTAATCCTTAGGCAATCACAGCCAAAAAACCTGTCTTTATTATGCCTTAGAACGTACTTAATATACATAATACAACATGGTGTTCGTTGACGACACGCAAGGCTTAGGAAGTGAGCTTGATAAAGTATTCCGGGTATGGAATATTAACACGATTATTCAGTTTCATGTCGATCACTATCTCCACCTATGAACTATGGCAAGGATAAAAATTGTTTTTGCTCTTGTTTTTGTGTAGAAGATTAAACGGATCTAATTATAAATTCAGCGCCATCTCGTTCCATTTCACATTTTAGATCAATTGTAACGAGCACATATCTTGAAATAACGCCTAACACAACATTAAACTATATAATTGTATGTGCATTCTCAACGTTTAAGCACCAACAACATTTGAAAAATTAGTTAAAATGTCAGAGTTGGATTAATATATATATATATTTATTCTGGAGTAACATAAATCCATATATCTGATTCGTTAGAAATTGTCCTTTTTTATTATTATTTATTTATATTGATTTCCTATTAAGTGTGGCACCAACATAGTTTGTCCTAGAGATTCCCTCCAACAACCCCACAAAAAGAGCCTAAAAATATCGAAGAGTGCACTAGCAATCTCTATGTAGGAATGGCACGGATGCCCCTATTAAAGCAATACAAAAGTCATCTAGATTTTCTTCTCTACAGGTCATCAGAAGCTAGATATGAAGAATTACCTTGTGTAGTCGCTCTATCTCCGGTGTATATGCCGCTTTCCAGATATCCAGAGCGTCTCATTGTCAAAAACCGGCAAATATCCAAAACGTTATAATAATATTTTTGTTCATCATCATCTTTCTTGAACAGGCCTAGCGCCTACCTAGTTTTATCATTAACTGTAATTTTATTATCATTTTATAGAGCCAAACAGTCTTCACGATTTTTGACTACCTATTATATTATTATAATACTGTACAAAATTTATAAAGCTTTATAATACACTCTATAACCTAATAACCCACGTACAACATCTTATAAAAAAGGAAACAAACAAGATAGGGGTGGAAGTGTATGTATCACTTGATCCGGCTAATGATCAATAGCAGACTAAGCCGTCTCGACTTTACATGGATAATAAAATACCTACATTAATGGCTTTCTCACTGGCAAAACAAATAGAACCATGTTTTCCAATCGTAGAATGTTACTCTATTGTAAAATAATCATAAAAAAGTCGTATTCTAAAGTTAACTAAAGGAAATGTATAATGATGAACTCTGAGATTATTCAAACACCAAGCTTTCGATAGACAAATTAGGGAAGCCAGTAATGTAGGGATTGTATTCTCCATATAAAGTCGAGACAACTTAGTTTGCTATGTTATCATTAGCCGATCAAGTGATATGTATACTTGCATATCTATCTTGTTTGATTCCTTTTTTCAAGTTCAGTAACCAGCCCTACATAGCTCTTTTATTTAGTTATACATTTTGTCCTTGTTAAATTACATCACAATAATAATAAGTTGACAAAAAATGATTTATAAGCATAATGAAGTGATTTATTTTGGGGGGAACATGTTTCAAAAGAACATTGGTCTGCCTTCTTCAGTTACGATCTGTAACTAAACGTACAGATTTTTATATAAACATGTAGTATGTTACCTCAAAAATAAATCAATTCATTATGGTTATAAATCGTTGTTTTCCAACTTATCATTATATTAGCATAACGTGCTTCCTTACCAAGTATTAAACCATAGCTTTCATACAGTATAGGTCAATTTAAACAAGGTCAATTTAATATAAGGTCAATTAAAAGAAAGTATTTTCAAGAAAAGCTTATTATCGTGATTTGAAAAAAGTTACTAAATTCTGAATATCACAGAAGTATTTCTCATTAGCTAAGAAACAACAGCATAACAAGGTAAGTACATATATAAAAGCGCCGTTTAAACCCACTATTTGGTCAGACAGGAATAGCCCAAGAGTTGGCGGTGGGTGCTGTTGATTAATTGCCTTCCTTCTAGTCTATCAGATTAAAATTAGAGATGGCTATGTGCAGATAGCCCTCGTGTAGCTTTGTGCAAAATCTAGAAAACAAACAAACAACTGAACTTCAGTCACACTAAGGCTTTAGCCCAGAAACAGGAAACCCTTCTGTTGAACCTTATAGCTGGCCTGGTGGATAGGGAGCGCTCGACTCGCAATCTGAGGGTCGTGGGTTTGAATCTCCGTCACCGAACATGATCGCCTTTTCTGCCGTGTAGGCGTTATAACATAACGATCAATCCCACTATTAGTTGGTAAAAAAGTAGCCCAAAAGATGGCGGTGGGTAGTAATGACTAGCTGCCTTCCCTCTAGTCTATCACTGCTAAATTAGGGACGGCCAGCATACATAGCCCTCGTGCATTTTTACGCGAAGTTCACCTTATACAAACCTTATAGCTTGAGGGACTAACTTTTTATTTCAGGCGTGTTTAAAAAAGTAAAATGGTAGAAACCATTATTGTCTCACATCGGTCTGAACGTATAATGTCACGAGGGATAAGGCGTCTTTAAAATGACCGATTAATGATACACTAAAAAATCATAAGTAAATAAAAAAGCAGTGGACAATAACCCCAATTTAGAGGTTTTTGTTCTACTTGTTACGAGAAAGGTCAATGACAAAATACCCGCTTTTTACTGACCCAGATCGCTCAGCTACGCCTAACCAAGTTTTAAATCGTTCTTGAAACACAATCGAATATGTATAAAGATAAATCCTGTTTGTCGTGTGACTCAATTTATGAAGTATGGCTAAAACATGGCGTTATTAATAAGAAACTTTACCATCAACGCCCTACTTTCTCTCACCAGCCAAATGATGTTTTTTCGTCGTTCCCTTCTTCCTCCTCCTCTCCTCTCATTCTGTCTCCAAACATTAGTGAAGTCACTGACTTTGTTCGAAGGAAGCGGGGGGGGGGGTCCACCTGAGGAACTAGGAACTCTGGGTTTATTGTGAAAGTAAGAACAGCAATCGTGTGATCTAAAAACTGGTCACACAAAAAACCCCTTGAGGGATTCGATTTTCACTGACACCACCATGGTAATTGTATGGTTGCAAATGACAAAATCGTCGTTCATAAATTTTAACAAAAATATATAAAATTTCATTCATTTTTACAACGCTGATAGTAGCTTCGTTTTTACAGCTTTTACTTAAAAAATATAACATATTTCTCCTGTCTTACACTAAACATCATCTAAGCCACTTTCTTGTAGACCCAATGACTGGGCGTCACTTAATGTGAACTGATAGACTAGCGGAAAGGTAGCTAGTTCACTACTCTTGTCTTCCAGAAAGGTAACTAGTTCACTACTCTTGTCTTCCAGAAAGTCAGCTAGTTCACTACTCTTGTCTTCCAGAAAGGAAGCTAGTTCACTACTCTTGTCTTCCAGAAAGGCAGCTAGTTCACTACTCTTGTCTTCCAGAAAGGCAGCTAATTCACAACTCTTGTCTTCCAGAAAAGTAGCTAGTTCACTACTATTGTCTTCCAGAAAGGAAGCTAGTTCACTACTCTTGTCTTCCAGAAAGGCAGCTAATTCATTACTCTTGTCTTCCAGAAAGGCAGCTAGTTCACTACTCTTGTCTTCCAGAAAGGCAGCTAGTTCACTACTCTTGTCTTCCAGAAAGGCAGCTAGTTCACTACTCTTGTCTTCCAGAAAGGCAGCTAGTTCACTACTCTTGTCTTCCAGAAAGGCAGCTAATTCACTACTCTTGTCTTCCAGAAATTAGCTAGTTCACTACTCTTGTCTTCCAGAAAAGTAGCTAGTTCACTACTCTTGTCTTCCAGAAAGGCAGCTAGTTCACTACTCTTGTCTTCCAGAAAGGCAGCTAATTCACTACTCTTGTCTTCCAGAAAAGTAGCTAGTTCACTACTCTTGTCTTCCAGAAAGGAAGCTAGTTCACTACTCTTGTCTTCCAGAAAGGTATCTAATTCACTACTCTTGTCTTCCAGAAAAGTAGCTAGTTCACTACTCTTGTCTTCCAGAAAAGTAGCTAGTTCACTACTCTTGTCTTCCAGAAAGGCAGCTAGTTTACTACTCTTGTCTTCTAATAGTTTGGTTCACTACTCTTATCTTCCAATAGTTTGGTTCACTACTCTTGTCTTCCAGAAAGGCAGCTAGTTCACTACTCTTGTCTTCCAGAAAGGTAGTTAGTTCCCAACCTGTGGTCCCCGGACCCCTGGGGGTCCGCGAAGATAATACCATCTCATTAAACAAATACGTTTTTTAATTCTGCTGTTCTTTTAATTGCACAGCCAGTTATATATGTCTTTTATTTGATAGTGAGAAATGGAAAACAAGTTAATTATTAGTAAGAAAAACAGTTTGTTGGGTAGATGGAATCTTTCAAACAACATGGGGGTCCTTGGTGGTGAAAAGGTTGGGAACCGCTGTACTAGATGGTGGGAAAAAAGTGGGTGAAATCGCTGATTATCTATTTTGATATTGATTGTATTTGTGTCCACCGTGGAGAATCGAACCCTGGATTTTAGCCTTGTAAGTCCATAGACTTGTCGCTATTCCACCGGGGGACTTTTTTTACCTTATTATCATTAGGAAGAAAACCTAAGGACTCGTGAGCAATTTGGTGCACGAGTAGTTTATAAAAATCGGTTTACAGATAATCGATAGGTCCCATAAGTATTTCTCGGATTAAATGTGAAATTGTATCTGGCTTAAAATCAGTAAAAAGGAAAAATCGTAAATTATCCCGTTTGAACCTGACCCAGGGATGTTTTATTTAGTAACGAACCAACAGATTAAATACACCAGTTCTTTGTTGTTTGGTTTTCGGTTTTTGACGAACGTCAAATGTCTTCGTATTATCTAACCGCTACAAAGTTGGTCCTTGAATTTAAAATAAATAAACTGTTAAACCCTTTTGTTACGTTTCTTTTAAAAATACTATTTTGTTTGTGTGTGTATGTGACAAATCTAACCAGCTTTCGATGGTGTATATATTGTTTGTAGGTTTATTTTATTATTTCTATTTGTTTGTAGTTAAGCACAAAGCTATACAATTGGCTGTCTGTGCTGAGCCCAGCATGAGTATCGAAACCAGGTACTTAGTGATATTAACTGATAAACTTACTGCCCAGCCGCTAGGGGGCAAATTTATTATTAAAACGAATGTATGAATTCATTAGCAGAAGGCTACGAGTAATGTAACACGATAAACATAAATCGTTTTATGCTCGAAGTTCATATTTTATCTTCTCAACCAATATTTGAAGATGATCTAGTCATAGATCAATTTAATTGCAGAGGGGAAAAGCTTTCATCCAAATAATCATTCAGTTACATAAAAGTATTAGTTTTTCGAATCTTTCTGTGTTACTAACCTAAGCCTAATTCTTGTATCCATACACCCAAAAACCATCATCTCTTTGTATACAGAATCTGAGGGTCGCGGGATCAAATCCCGTCACCGAATACGCTTCCCCTTTCAGCCGTGGGAGCGGTATAATGTGACGGTCAATCCCTCTATTTGTTGGTAACCCAAGAGTTGGCGGTGAGTGTCGTTAGCTAGATTCCTTCCCTCTAATCTATCACTGCGAAATTAGGGACGGCTAGCCCAGATAGCCGTCGAGTAGCTTTGCGTGAAATTCAAAACAAACAAACCAACTTACCACTGAACCACCTGGAGGACAAGTCACCATCTACAGACTACTTCACTGGAGGACAAGTCACCATCTACAGACTACTTCATAGATCAAAATCATTTGGAGAAAATGGAAAAGATAAATATACTGAAGTAAATAAAGTCATAATTGTTTTAGTTACATTAAACTGTGATTTTAAAAAAGTTGGTTACAAAGGTGCCCCCCACCACCACCACCAGTGACACAGCGGCATGTCTGCGGAGTTACAACACTAGAAATGGGGTTTCGATACCCGTGATGTGCAGAGCACAGATAACCCATTGTATAGCTTTGGGCTTAACTTTAAAAAAAAACCTCATAAAGATAAATATAACTGCCAGTGTTGTGGTATTCAAACCATTTTGTTAATGTTCAAATATATATAAAAACTTTATAGTTCAAAGTTCTAAGCCTAGAATACAATTCACATTCTGTATTACAAGATATTTATTTTATTTTTGTGTATGCGTGTCGGAACAAAGTATATAGTGTGTTAACGGACACAAGGGTTTCTACGGACGGTGGGTATATTTAAATGACCCGCCATCAAGTCTCCGATTGCGCTAATTGAAATAATTACAGTTAGTACGTGTATTGTGTATCTTATTTACAAACTAGCTTTTATCTACACTAGGAGGCGGAAATGTATCCTTCAAAAACTAAAGCTCTGCAAGTTGCAGCTTACAACACAAGCCAGTAGTGTATTCAGCCTTTCCAGAACCACATGTAAAGTGTATTCAGCCTTTCCAGAACCACATGTAAAGTGTATTCAGCCTTTCCAGAACCACATGTAAAGTGTATTCAGCCTTTCCATAATCACATGTAAAGTGTATTCAGCCTTTCCAGAACCACACTCGTATGATAGTGTTTTTAGTTCTTCATCCTCGAAGTGTTTATGTACAACAATAATACACGTTTTAACAACATCACTAATGTCTCGTTTAATTAATTGGAAAGACTAAATCACATTCCAGTTCAAGTTACCCTCTCATAGTTTGTAATCTTCTCTTTGTCTACTTTTGTTTTTCATCACATTTATCGGGCACGCCATCATCATCCAAACCAAAATAATCTACCAAAACATCAATTGGTGAATAAAGACATCCTTACGAGTTAATAATAGTAGGCCACGTGAGTTTGTGAACTAAAAATGTCCACGAGAACTCGGATAATCGCCCGATTAGGTCGACTTGTATCGGACTGGTATGGACTCCTCCTACTAGTGTACAGATCAATACAAAACTTGTCGAAATCTAAAGCCTAAATGCTGAGATCTTTGCTCATGGAAGCAACGCAATGTTATACCTGCTCCGTACGTATAAAAGGTTTCAGAATTCCTCCAGTGTACAGTGCGAAACCACTCCGGGCATATTCTAAATTAGGTTTAGCTTGGATATCAGGTTTGAAAAAAATTAACAATGGCCGTGCCAGATAATTAAAGAAAGTTGACACAATTTTTGAGGCACGTACCAAACATGTAGTATCATGAAACAAAACGTTTTACACACCCTGTGTTACGACTAAAATGTTAGCTTACAAAGTTGGAATTGTTTCATTACTAATTATGTATTGTATTTGACTGATCGTCCAACTACACTCTAGAATACACTTCTTTTGTGTCACGTTTATAATATGGCCATACGTACCTCTTACTTTAAAACAATAATATATTCTTCAGTATCTTTTACTTCCCGACAATAATATAGTCATAAATACCTTGTATTCTACGACAGTAACATGGTCATAAATAGCTTGTACTTCACGACAATAATGGAGTCGTAAATACATTGTACTTCACGACAATAATGGAGTCGTAAATACATTGTACTTCACGACAATAATGGAGTCGTAAATACATTGTATTTCACGACAATAATGGAGTCGTAAATACATTGTATTTCACGACAATAATGGAATCGTAAATACATTGTACTTCACGACAATAATGGAGTCGTAAATAACTTGCATTTTACAAAAATAACTTTGGCATGAAGATTTCGTACCTTTCAACAATAGTTTTTATAACTACTATTAGAACTGATTATGGTTTGTCCAGTTTGTTACAACAAGGACAAGACGATCATTCTATAACTATGAGTAATTCAAAGGAAATAAATGGTCTTCAAATAACTTTGAAGGAAACCCGATAAAGCTAACTTCGAGTCACGGGGATCACAAGGAGAATTCTAAATAGAGGCGGGAAAAAAAAGCACACTATGAAACTAGGTCATCGTCGGATAGTATGATTTTCTTACAATATCGGCCGTGAGTTATAGTCTAGCCTTGCTATTAGCAGGGCCGAACGGACCTGATTTTGTGTGTGTGCAGTACCGAACCCGCTAGTTGGGCAACACTGCAATACAGCTGTGTACTTATTGGCTTTCTTCAGCCCGAACTACAAGTAGGTCGATCCGATAGTCTACATACCGTGACGTTGCCATATAAAAGACGGATTCCTTGAACTCGGTTGTATTTTACGCGAGGGAATCAACAGATCGTTGAAGGTAATCACTCCTATCAGAAGGTAAGTTTCATTTCAACATTACAACCCGTGACTCGTACCAATATCTTTAAACTTAACATTACAACCCGTGACTCGTACCAATATCTTTAAACTTAACATTACAACCCGTGACTCGTACCAATATCTTTAAACTTAACATTATAACCCGTGACTCGTACCAATATCTTT